CCTCCCTCCCCCCTCACCTATATGATATAGTAATTAACTCTCTACCTTTGCAGACAAATATTCTGAAGGATATCCAGGGGCGCGGTATTATGGTGGCAACCAATTCATTGATCAAGCTGAGATATTGTGCCAGCAGCGCGCTTTGAAGGCTTTCGGCCTCAAAGAAGAAGAATGGGGAGTCAACGTACAACGTGAGTCTGGTCTTCCTTTTCCTACCTCCTCGTCAAAATCATACTCTAATGCACTGTGCCTAGCGCTTTCTGGCTCTCCTGCGAACCTCTACGCATATTCCGCACTCCTCAACACCCACGACCGTATCATGGGCTTGGATCTTCCCCACGGTGGCCACCTTTCCCACGGGTACCAAACACCAACAAAGAAGATTTCCGCCGTCTCCAAGTATTTCGAAACTCTACCGTATAGATTAGATGAATCCACATGCCTCATCGACTATGACAAACTGGCAGAGCTGGCCCAGTTATATCGACCAAAGCTCATCGTCGCGGGCACGTCAGCATACAGCAGACTCATCGATTACCCGCGCATGCGCAAAATTGCCGATAGCGTCGGAGCGTATCTGCTCAGCGATATGGCCCATATATCCGGACTGGTCGCCGCTGGCGTCGTACCCTCCCCATTTGCACATTCTGACGTTGTTACAACCACAACGCATAAATCCCTCCGGGGTCCTCGTGGTGCCATGATTTTCTTCCGCAGGGGAGTCCGTGGCACTGACGCCAAGGGCAACCCAGAGATGTATGACCTCGAAAATCCCATCAACGCATCCGTGTTTCCCGGCCACCAAGGGGGCCCCCATAACCACACCATTACAGCACTGGCAGTAGCCCTGCAGCAAGCCACAACCCCAGAATTCAAAACATACCAACAGACCGTGCTAGAAAACGCCAAGGCCCTGGCTGACAGGCTCGGTAAGCCCACTAACAGCGGTGGATTAGGCTACAATATCGTCTCCGGCGGCACAGACAACCATCTTGTGCTAGTAGATCTGAAGAACCGCGGCGTCGATGGCGCGCGCGTTGAGCGGGTGCTTGAGCTGTGCGGCGTCGCAAGTAACAAAAACACCGTCCCCGGTGATAAGTCTGCGATGAAACCCGGCGGTATACGAATCGGGACACCGGCGATGACCTCGCGCGGCTTCGGGCCCGAGGACTTTGTGCGAGTGGCGGATATTGTCGACCGTGCCGTGACGATTACGCAGAAACTGGATAAACCCGCCAAGGCGGATGCGGAGGCGAAGAAGCGGAAGAATCCTGGTAGTGTGAAGGCGTTCCTGGAGTATCTTGGGGAGGGGGAGGAAATTCCTGAGATTGTGCTGTTGAGGCAGGAGGTTGAGGATTGGGTGGGGACGTTCAGTTTGCCGTGGGCGGATGAGGAGAGCTAATGATTTTTGATTTTGCGTGCGACTGCCACGTATATATATACATATATATATATCTGTGTGTGTCAACGCCTTTGTAGGTGCGTTTTGTATATGATGAAAAACGGAATGTTGAAACAGAAAGAAATGCTTTTATAAATGCTTTCAAGCCCAGCTCAATCCTCTCCCCGTCTTCTTTTAACAAAAAACCTTTCCCCAGTCCCTCTCCTCGGGTTCTACCGTCTTCATCTTTAAACGACATGGATTTATTTTGGTTTTCTACTAGCGGTGCTCTGGATCGTTTTGCACGTTATATTTATTTTTCCAGTGGCATTCCCCCCGACGATCTATGTACAAGGCATTACTTACTACTCTTGCTACGAACACAAAAATCTTCATCCACTGCATATTTGACCACCATCACCATCATCTGGATATCTTTTAACAAAGGTAGCTAAATGGAAATATCAAATATCCTAATTAATACTGAGGGTATATATATGCTCTTTTTTTTTCTGTTCATTTTTTTTTCTGCAGAGGGAAGGTGGTATTCTGGAGATAGGGTTATCAGCAAGAGAGAAAAAAAAGAAACTCTTGCATTAAATGAAGGTCATTTTTGCAAATCAAATCAAATTCCCTACTGACATAATATCCGGCGTGATGTTGAAGAGAGCATATAGGGAACAAGCCCCCGTCTGAGCTGCAATCCAGAGTACCCCCTTTTCTGGTTGAAATTAAGGCATTAAGGGGCCAGTTCATGGCTATTAGAACACTGTCATCCAGAAGCTTCACAAAGCGGATGGCTCGTCGTCACATTGGCCAAACTGGACAACAGAATTAGCCTTCATTCCATCCACAAAAAAAAAAGAAAAAAAACTATTTTCTGCTTTCCACACACTCTTCCATCTAGATTAAAGGAGCGGTTGGCGGCCCAATAAAAGCTGCGCGTTTAGCAAAGAACAATATACTGGTCTAGTACTTATGCAAATAAATAATGTGCAATAGAAAGTGAGACGGTAAATCGGGGGAAGCTGGTTGGAACACCACTCCTTCCTTCGGGACTATTCTAGGAGTATTTATGTAGAAACTTGGTTTGGATGGCATTTTGTCGCCGTATATAGCGTTAACCGCCGCTAACTTCCACGTGGTCGACTGGATGGGGATTCGTTTGACAGGATGGTGTTTCATTTTGGATGTAGCGGCTCGTTATTGTATGAGTTGGCAGATGATAGGATGGGTGTCAAAATTGCAGATAGTGTCTTCTTATCGACGGTACGGTGTAGAAGAGTCGTTGGTGCATATGCATTCCAAAATATGGATATGGATATTTATGGCATCACTATCATAGCTTTTTTTATTTTCCTGTCTGGTTTCCCTGTCCCCCTAGTATGAAAGTGAGCGAAAGATGCTAGCGGCGCCAACCCGGAATGCATAACTGGTGCTGCTCAGAGCCCCATTTCCTTTCACAATACCAGCAAAGCCATGGTATCAATCGCTCGCTCCCTCTCCCCAAACACCACAATTTATTGTCCTTGGATCTCACCCAACCTTCTCTTGCTCCCGTGCCCTTTCGGCCTGACGAACCTCCTCATCTTGCTGGCCAAGACCTGACCCTCTTGCTTATGCATTTGTACATGATCCGCCCACTCAGATAGTTTTACCCAAGAAGGTTTTTTCCTATCACCTACCATCGGCATTCCACCCTAAAACGTAAGGCATCATTAAAAGATCCAAATATGGTCCACAACAGAATCGTCTGTACGTCGCGCTCTACCCCAGTGGCGTTGTGAACAATGAAGAGAGAAGGTAAATGGAATCGATCAAGGACATTCTCCCGTTTCCTACCCTCAGCAGCTCATCGCTAACGAGTCCTCGAAAATAAGATACCACTGGGGCTTCTTAGTAGGACCGAAAGTGGAGGGTACAGGTGCGGTCCCAGGGATCCGCTACCACGTCAAGAACAACCCGATTAACGGCTGGGTTTACGAAGAAGTGCCGCTGCGCGATGTGCGAACGACAACTAGTTTGCTGGCGCGGGTGTTAATAGGGAAGGTTGAAAATGATGCGCAGCTCAAAAACATATTAAGGAGTGTTCCTGTCATACAAAATGACACGAACTGGCGGTGCCGGACTTGGATCGCGAACGCGTTAGCTGCAATAGCCAGCGATGGTAAGGCGGTTGGGACCGCGGAACTTGACTGGGACAAGATCGAGCTACAGCCAGACAGTATGTGAGCCGTAAATCAGCTGCTGGTCGGTACCTGAATGCGGTAGACTTTCTGGGGCCGAAGCCAACTTGGGACCTGCTGAAGAATAGGGAGATTGTCTTCTGAGGAAAAGGTGCGGGGGGATGATACTTTAGCTATGCAGCAGTTTAGTTCAAAGGGTATTTTATCATTGGCGGAGACAGGACTTACCGTTTTGTAACATCGTACATTAATATCCGCATTGCAGATAAAAAATCTGTATAGGTTGGGAGCGTCGTAGGCGTGCGTAAATCGCATCAGAACTCCCCCCACCACTTCTGACGGATAACCTCCATCCTCAGCTCATTAGGGAACGGCTGGAGAAATTTGTCTAGTAAATCTTGCCACCCGGTCCTCGTCACATTACCCCACCACGCAGATGTATACTCCCAGTAATACGGATACCACCCGGCACACTCCCAGTCAACAATGCCGACAACATCATCGCCGTGAACTATGATATTAAACGGGTTCAAATCGCCATGTGTGAAAACAGGAGGCGCATCCCATGGCCCATCCTGCCAATCAACCATCTCCTTGATATCCTGCCAGTCCTGATCGTTTTCCCGCCCGGGAAATTGTTTGGGCTGCAGATCCTCTCTGAGCCAGGAGTGAAATTGTTGGATAGTCTTGAACGGACCGAAACGTGGGAGACTGCGCGGGTTCCGCACATCGCGTAAGGAACTGCCAACGCAACTTTCTACTCTTCCTCCCTCACCACCTACTAGTGCTGCACCCGGCGGCGGTGGCTGCGATGCTTCAGGTTTAAGCGACCGCAGCTCCAGGAACATGGCCCTTAACTGCGCAAAGATCTTCTCAAGGCTTTCATCAGACCATTTCCGTTTCCTCCACTCCTCGGGGAGGTCCGCGCCTTGCATACGCTGCATGACAATATATGCACGATTCTTATGAACGAATGAACAATAGACCCGTGGCACCGGTACTGAGGTGGTATTTTCCGCGACGAATTTCATCGTCGCCGCCTCTGTCAAGTGCACCCATATGCCTGTCTTGACAATTTTGTGTTTTGAGATGGGGATACAGTCACCGTTGCGGGTATAGAACCTGGTTACGGTGTTCAGTGCAAGGAGGGTTAAGAAACGGTTGAGTCGCGTGTTGTTTATGGCTAGGTTGTGGGTGCCGTCGTGTTGGGTTTGTGTCCTGTTAATTGGGGAGAAAGCAGTGGGTGGCAGATCCATTGTGGGGTGAAAGGGATTCCCCTTTTACTGTTTTGATATTCGGATTTACTGTGGTGATGATGGGATGGTCTAAACAATGGTTATATATATTATTGGTAAATACGCAGAAGGAGCGCCAAGCCCCAGGCTCCACAGGAGAATAATGTCTGGCTCGAATGGTCAGCAGATATCCAATCAGCCCACGTAGCTCAATGGTCAGAGCGTGCGGCTTTTAACCGCAAGGCTGCGAGTTCGACCCTCGCCGTGGGCTAAACTTTACTTTTTTTCCTTGTTTCTTTAATTTTTTTCTTTTTCTTTTTTTTTTTTTTCCTCTCGCAATATTTTATTCCTTCTACCCCGGTTATATTTTATTTATTATTCTCTTTCTGCGCCTGCTTTGTTGTATCAATCAAAAATCATGTCTCAGAAGCCCAAGGAGGCCATTTGAAGATAGCCAAAAAGCTATCTAGAATATACTAATTTTATTTAATACAGCTCTACTGCCAAAACGTTCCATACACCAGTCGATGATGGAACGCGGATATCTCAATCCCATATTCGTTAGGCTACTATTCTGGGTTGGAATAAACCAGAGCGGCAATATCTTCTAAGGTTCATCATCCCGGTATCCTAGTTTTATTATTAATACAACAAATAGTCTATGATCACGCAGTCTGTTGTCTCAAATATCCGCCTACGGCGGCAGTTGAGCGCTATGTAGTATCAAAACTCTCCTATTTCTGACCCCCCACGGGAAATAACCCGATGATGGCAAACATCTCGCCTTTATCTCCACAGATACTCCGCTCCTTTAGCCTCCCTGTTCAAAGTAGCAATACTGTCCAACTTCTACCCGGTGGCCAGGGAAACAGCTTCCTCCTGCCTCATTCCAATGTAGTACTAAAACGCATCCAGGACGCTGCAGAAGCAGAGCACGCTGCTGCAATCCAGCATCAGTTATATAATCTCCAGGCAGAGAGGGAAGTGCACAAGGAAACGCGCGAGTATCAAGTCGCAGAACCGCTAGCAGCTGTCGTCACTTCTTACTCTCCAGCCATCCCTGCTGTCAATGATAGCGATGGTGGAGGGGTCTCAGCCACGGGATATGTTGCTGACGATACTTGGACGGCAGCACGGGTTATCCCTGGTAAACCTGATCCAGGAGCGAGTCGATGGGAGGAGATATTACATGTTTCGAGGGCATTACATAGGGATCTACGAGAGTTGTTTCGTGGACTGCGACATTTTGAGCAGCCTTCTTTCATGCGCCGGCGGGATAATAGATGGGCGAAGGGTGATCGAGTAGCGTGGGAAATGGAGGAGGCGGGGGACGCAAATACCTCTAATAGACGCGGCGTATCTTTTATCGCGGGGGAGGCATATAGGGATACTTTCCGCCAACTTATATCCCTCCGCGAACCCATAGATACGACGAAGAGCGTGCCCCAGCTTATTCATGGTGATATGGCAGGGAATGTGCTTTTTACGAATTACAAGAGGAAATATCCCGCTGGGAAGAAGAAGAAGAAGAAGAAGAAGAAGAAGAAGAAGAAGAGGATGAGGTGCAAGATGGCCAGCCCGTTCCTGGCATCATTGATTTCTCGCTCTACTTTCGACCTGTGGAATTCGCCGAGGCGATCATTGTCGCTGATGGGTTGTTGTGGTATGATGCTAGCGAGGAACTTGTTAAACTGGTCGGTGTAGATACATATCGATTGCAGATGCTAGTGCGGGCATTGATTTTTCGTCTTGTGGCTTCGAGTGAGGGGGAAAGGGAGGCAGGTCTTGTTGATGAGGTGGAACCAGATAGATTTAAGCAGGCGGTTGTGCTTCTTAGCAGGTGGATAAAGGGTTGATTGGATTGGGGATCAAAAATGTCTTTTTCCTGTACATTTCGATGTGTATTTATTTATCTATTTCAATACAATATACGGATTACCATTTATTCTGATAAAATAAACAAGAAACGCAACAAATAAGAATACTATTTCCCCGGCTAAGAGGGTATTTTACCCCACATGTCTCCCGCCCTACCGCTGGCATATTCCGGTTTTGTCTCCGCACAACTTACACTCTTCTTTGCGCATGAAATTGGCGAATGGGCGGAGCAACGGCCAAACAATACGACATTGGGCTTGAAAATAGATATGGTCGTGGATTGGGCCCACTCTCAGACTCGCCCCTTCGAGTCTTATTTATCATGATTCTTCTGGTGCCAAACCTTTCCTGCCAGGCCCCCCCCGCATCTTTACTAGTCCGGGCATTCTCAAGCTCGTTCCCTCAGCGAGCTACATTATCATACCTCTATAAAATCAGCAAACTTCCCCAAAGATCAGCAAATAACGAACCAGACGTTGACAAAATGGCGGGTTTGAAGATAAGCCAGGTATGTATCAAGGGTTTTTTTTTACCCTCTGTTTTATGGCGGAGGGCGGTAGAGTAGATGCTCCGGGAGAATAGAACTACTATAGAAACCGCCAAAACACCCCATAAATGACCGATAAATGGATGAAGAAAGAAAGTTCATACATGTCTTATATAGAGAGGTTTTGTTTTAGCCTCACCGATATCTAAGCTATATCGACCAGAAATATCGCATCTAACACCCTACAACAGCTGTACATATACCCCATCAAATCCCTCCGCCCCACCCCGGTCTCCCACTCCCGTATAACCCGCCATGGTTTCGCCTATGACCGTCACTTCATGCTGCTCAAAGTTGAGCCTGACAATAGCCTGAAAAACATGCAGGTCTGCAACATTCAAGAAATGGCCCTGTTCCTCACAGACGTTGTATTCCCCGGCAAGTATGCTGATGGGGCTGTCAGTGAGGAAGGCAAGATCTTGGTTACATATCAAGTCCCAGTCGGGCATCCAGGTCGGGATGTGGTTAAGAAATTGGAGATACCACTTGAGCCGACAGACCTTCAGGGGCTGCGGGTTCTGGAGGTTGATATGTACGGCAGTAAGAGCAAGGCATATGATATGGGCAAGAAATATTCAGACTGGTTCTCTGAGTGTTTTGGGTTTGAGGTCGTATTGGTGTATTTGGGTGGAAATCGGAGACCGGTGCTGGGCGATGTCCCGCCAAACGCTGCGGCGAGGAGGGCAGCAGCTGAGCTCCAATCTACATCGAAGACTGGCGGTGGTGATGGCTGGATATCAAGTATCACCAATGCTCTGCCGTATTTCGGAAACGGCACTCCCGCCTCGGTAAACAAGGACGATGATGACGGCGAACAGATCACCTTCGCAGACATTGCGGCCTACCTTGTCGTCTCGGAAACATCTCTGGGGGAGGTATCCAGCCGGCTTCCCGACGGTGAGGCGATGGACGTGACCAAATTCCGCCCAAATATCGTCTTATCTGGCGCACCGGAGGCGTACGAGGAGGACTTTTGGGGAGAAGTCACGGTTAAGGACGAGATCAAGTTCATCCTAACGGCGAACTGCGCCAGGTGTGTAAGTATCAATGTTGACTATGACACCGGCGCACCGGGTACGAGCGAATCGGGAACCATACTTAAGAAATTGATGAAGGATCGGAGAGTCGACAAGGGGAAAAAGTATAGTCCTGTCTTTGGGAGGTATGGGTTTATAGATAAGGATTCTGAGGGGTTGCATGTAGGGGTTGGGGATAAGGCGGTTGTGTCGAAGAGGAATGAGGAGAGGACTACATTTTGTAAGCTGTTGTCTCCTGTTCCCAGTTTATCATCACCTCTTTTTTTTTTTTTTGTTTTTTTTTTTTTTGTTTTTTTTGTGGAGTGAATGAAGGCTAATTCTGTTGTACAGGGCCAATGTGACGCGAGCCATCCGCTTTGTGAAGCTTCTGGATGACAGTGTTCTAATAGCCATGAACT